AAATAAATAAATAAATAAACTCAGAAGGGACCCGAAAGGAAGGAAGGGGCACCAGTCATCCTCTCCAAAGGCCTGGATGAAGAGCCAGATCTCTAAGCCCCTTTGAAATACCAGTAGGGTGGGAGCCCCTTAAAATTTCGGCAGGACCCTCATTCCAGAGGGTTTTCTAGTTATTCAACTTTCTAGAAAACTATATTCTAGTTTTCAGTTTCTTTCACTGTTTTCACTTCTATTAATGCATCCCATTCCTGGGAGGGACTATCTGATTGATCTTTGGGGCAGTAATGCCATCCTCATGCCTAATTAAACTTGGGGAGGCCCCAGGGAGATCCATTCTTGCTCTAACACATACCATAGTTTGGTGGTGTGATGATCACTTGTAAAACTCTGCCTCTCTACTTCATTGGCTACTCATGACCCATATCCTAATGTCGGGAAAAAATAAAATGCGTATAATTATGGTCTGGGAGGCAATATCTTATATGGCTTCATTTTCAGAAATAGCATCACATTTCTCATGAAGTTTAATTCCACCCTCCAACTTCATTTTGATAATATGCTATGCAACTATAATAAAGGAAAATAATATGCATTTGTAGCCAAAATTCATTTTCATCTTCATGCTACACTGGCATAGAATATACTATAAATCATCTTTTGGCTATATACAATTAATTTTCTCTTCTTTCCCCATCTGCTTCTTCTTTTTACAATGTTTTTGTTACATTTGTTTTTAAGGTCACTATCACATTCCATTTGAACAGCTGGTGCTTAATATTAAAAGATCTTTGGATGATAAAGTTACACATTCAGTGAAAGACAGATGTCATTTTAAAAACTCATTATGCTTTACTGTTGCTAAAACAAGCATATTATGAGCACATTCTTAATAAAAGATTAGTCTGCTGGTTGAGGAACCTGCTCCCTAAAACAGAAAAGTTTTATTTTACCCTTATTTGAAAGACTGGCAAATTCAGTGCCTTTCCTTCATACTTAAGAAACATGGCCAGACTCCATAATTCTATTTACGAAGCTAAAAAAAAAATTAAAAAATGACACTATAGAAATTGCCTTCATTTGAGATAATTCTATATGCAATTTCAGGATAAAAACTTTTTTTATAATTTTCAGGGTAACTGTTCTTCCAGATGGAAGCCTGCAAATTCTGAATGCCTCCAAATCTGATGAGGGGAAATACATATGCCGAGGAGAAAATATATTTGGTTCAGCAGAAATTACAGCTTCAGTATTTGTTAAAGGTGAGATATAACAGGAATGTGGTTGATTTGAGTAGGTTTGCACTGGGTAAACCAGAGTACTCCAACAATACTAACATGCAGGTTACTCTGCTAACTACAGCCCTAGTACTCTGCTAACTACAGCCCTAGTAGGACAGAAATAAGAATGGTGAGATGTTTGCATCTTCTTCTTTTCTGGTGGTTTTGGAGCAGTGGGGAAAGGATAGTGAAGACTTTGGACCTCTTGGATCTAAGGTTTCTCTCATAATATACCTTGAGCAACCACCATCCCTTTTGGAACTGGTAGGAAGGCTAGAAAGACAGGTCCATGCTGAATCCTTCCATCCAAGATAGCAGCCCTATCAAACTCTGCTGTGATTATGAGTTTGGTGATCCAACATATCTAGTGAGCATCAGTTTAAGAAAACCATTTCTGGATTATAGTATTGTTCTGTAATAATTATATCATGCAACCTTCCAAAATCCAGGGCTGTGTAGATATGTTGGACCATAATATCGTATCTGTTAGTTTTGCTCCTTGGAAGCAAATAGGAATTGCAGTCCAACACATATTCTCATTCTCTCCCCCGCCCCCCTTCTCTTCTAAAGGACGGTCACAAAGGTACTAATAATAAGAATAAAATAATTGCACTTTAAAAATTAATTAAAAACACAAAGAAGACCCATAAAACATTAAAAAGACATTAGAGGAGCAGACAGCACCCCAGAATTAAAACCCAACTCAGCATTCTAAACATCCTACAAACCAAAAGTATGCCTGAATAATTTTTCTTTTCCTGAACCGCAAACACAAAGCATTGGGCTGAGAAAACTAATAAGAGGGAGAGGGGAATGTGCATGTCTGAAAACAAATGCCCAGAAATTACAACTACTACCTAAGGGACCTGGGGATATTTGACGGATCTTTGTCCCCTCTATGCTTTTATGATGACTGTGAGAAGGCCAAACAAAATGGGAAGTTTCATGTACAACACAAAGTATCTTTGTCTACGTTTCCCTGACTCTTCCTTCTATTTTGAACAAGTGTCAGTCAGTGAGAGCCTAACCATTAAAAGCTATGTATACGGAGAGATTCCCCAGTCTAACAGTTTGTGCCATTGATTTGTTTTGTCTCCTAGAGCCTACCAGGATAGACCTGTCCCCCAAGAGGACTGAGCTCACAGTGGGAGAAAGCATTGTCCTCAGCTGTAAAGCTTTTCATGACCCCACCTTAGATGTCATCTTTCACTGGACTCTGAATGGGCAGCCTATTGATTTTGAAAAAGAAGGAGGACATTTTGAAAGCATCAGGGCGGTGAGCATGAGTTAAAATCCATTTTCTTTGACAGATTTAATGGAATGCAGCATGCTGGACACCTCTTCATCTGCAAATTTGCAGATATG